GCTTTCACAACAAAACACAGCGTCACACACTGCGGCCTTGAGTGAGCGGAGGCCGGCTAGAGTGAGCCCATATTGTGATGCTTGCGGCAACCACATGTGATGACCCCGGGCTGGACTCCGCTTCGTCCACGGTGAAAGCCGATCCGGCGATCCACTGCGCAAAGTTGATGTATTCCACCAGCACGGATCAGCTCTAGGCATGACGAAGTGAATATCGTCCTCTTTTGGAAGGCCAAACAAAGTAGTTTCGCTTTCACAAAGAAACACACAGCATCTCCACAACATGGCGGCAGCAACAACAATACTACAGCGAGAATAAAAGTTACGCCTTCCTTCTTTGCGTGAACATTTGGGCGGCGTTATGCAAATCTTCCCACACAGTGACGTAGACATGTGGAGGCGTGTTAGAACGAGCCGTTTTAGGTAGGCGTGGTTGACTCTTAACTTTTATAAAGAATATCTCTTTGGATTTGAGACTTTAGTCTTTGCAACTTTACAGATCTTCTTTATGCACCAAGAGCTTGTAACACTCCAAAGAGAAAGGAAAAATTGAAATCGCATCATATGACCCCTTTAATATTAGTCATTCTTTTTTATTGTTCCTTAAATCTGTTCCTGCTTGGATATCCCTTTTCAGGCAGCATGCAGTGCTGTGTTGGCCTCATTCAGAAATACTGCCCAGTCAATCTGTCAAAGGCAGAACAAGCAGCCATACACTTTTTTGGCAGGGTTTGTGGACTCCTGCACGTAAGGGGCTAGCTAATGTGCTCTTTTGTTGCGCTAGGCGGCATCTACACTCATTCCATAGTGCGTATCAACTGCACCAACCAGCAACCATGTGCTTCATTCACTACGAGAACTCTGGTTAGGAGTTAGCGGTGTATTTCTGGGAATTTGAACACTGTATGTTTATCTCCGTGAGTAAATAACAATACTCAGTTATAGGACAACCTTGCCTCACATTTCATTCTCCTTGTCAAACAACAGGCAGGGCAATCTCAGACTGTTGTCAAAACACAAAAGCTGCTCATGAGGGTGATATAACTTCATATTTTAGATAATAAACATGATCTTTGGATCAACTGAC